ACTGAAGATGACAGAAGCTCTGTCGAAACATGTCTTGCAAACTTAAAAAATTGGTCGTTTTCCTTAAAATATTTACATGTCTGCTGCTATCTAGACCAATTAAAAATAAATAAATAAATAAAAAATTAAAAGAAATATTGCGGTGATTGTTTTCCTGGTGTGATTTACCCTTTTTTGCGAGAAGAGGTCTGTTGCAGGAACAAAATTTTCAAGTGTCCTTGCTCTGCAACATGTTGTATGAAATTCGGCTGTTTTGGACTCGTGCGTCATGAAATAAGAACAAAATGTCCTCAATTGTCAATGTCGCATCGTGAAAACTGCTCAGTCGCAAGCTGTTCCCGCTACAACATTGAAGTGAGTGAATATCCGCTTTCCGTGCATCAGCTTGCTTACTGTCCCTGCAACATGCATCCTATACATAACACGAAGGGGTTTGTCCCCTCATCACGTTCTCGCAGCATGTCCCCTAGCGTAATCAGATCTGCCCTGACTAAGCAAGCTAATGACATAACGCAATATTAGGTGTGCGACTGCTATTTGAATTGCATTAAAGAAATTTTGTGCTCCTGCATTCTCGAAGTAAACCGAAACAATACTTCTTGTTTTGAGACTGCATGTGCATGTGGTCACTGAGCAGTCGAAGTTGTGGGATTTCCTGCGGAGAATATCGTGGACACTGAGGGATTTTGAAAACCACACAGTTTTGAAATCCGGCTACAAAATGTCAACAGCCAAGGTCAACAAAATCACTGTGAATGAGGCCTTCTAAAATGCCAAGGTTTGTAGTTAACTACTTCCACGATCGAACAAGTTTTTCGTTCGTTTCAGTACAGTTATTACACAATAATGTGAATTTCAATCTCTAACATTTCAGTAAATTAAAAAGAGAAAAAGAATCTCTCGATTGACTATAGACTCAGTTTCTGGAGTTTTGCTGTACCGTCCTGCATGAATACCTTGAAATATGCCCAATTTTTCCGAATCATTGACATTTTTAAAACATTATACTGCTATTAATTCTAATTTGAAACCCAATGATTGGATGATAGTTTTTTATATATACTACCATCGATTTAAGAGAAGTTTACAGTAACACTGAGCTTACATTTTGGCAATGATTTGGCCAAAAAAAACCCTTAATTTCGTTTAAATACATAGTTTCATTCAGCTTCTGAATTCAGTCTCCGTTTCTTCCTCATTGTTTTCCTTGTGGTTAAGAAGCCCGCTGACATCAACCACTTGTTTGAAAGCCACGTGCAGGTGGATGGCCGTGGTGGTAACAGCAAGCCGAGCTACTTTACCCTTTCCTATAGATCTTTCTCTTAAGCACAGAGCTTTTCTAAACTCGGGAATCCTTAGCGAGTAAAGAACAGGATTGGCAAATGAGTTGCAGAAGTTAAGAAGATTAACAGTGAGCACAATGTGTTTATCCACCGGAATATAAACTGAGACCGTGTTAGTTATTATCAAGGGCAGCCACGACAGCAACGCTATGGCAGTTATCAGCAACAATGTCTTTGTTGATCGCTTGTTTTGAGATTTTCCACTGCTATCACCTCGTATACCTTTTCTCCCTTGCGTAAAGTTTGTCCAAATGCCGATGTAACAGCCACTTATAGTTAGGGTTAAGATGGACGCATACGACACCCATATCACAACCGCTACGTTAACTGACTTGTACAAAGAACCAATAATTGCAGCTGATAGAGCTATAGATAACAGCCAGGTCAGAAAAATTAAGATGTAATACGCACGTCGACGGGCTCTGGATCGATGTTTAAGTGGCCATGCCGTAGCGTAAAACCTCTCTATGGCAATGAATGCGGCCGTAATTATTGATGACTGAGCACAAACTGTATCGATAACCCTATAAAACAAGTTCAAAGAGAAATTCCACTGTTTTGGCCACAGCTCAAAATCACCTCCAAGTTGATAAATAAAGAGAGGCAAGGACAGGGCTCCCAGCATTAAATCCGCACATGCCATATTTATAACCAGGAGGAAGCTCTTCTTACGAAGATTTTTGTTCAAAGCAAAAACTATGACTGCAAGGACGTTTCCTGCGACAATGAAGAAAGAAACTACAGCAAAGGCACTACACCAAGCCACTCCTTCCGTCAGGCTAAAGGAAGCAAGCAACAAAGAAGTATTCGTGAGCTCCGCGCTTGAATTGTTGTCCACATCATCAGCCATCGTTAACAGTGCGATGTTATAGAGAGCAGAATCTACATAACAGAATATATCAAATACAAAGAAATTGGCATGCAAATGAGTGTTAAATAATTAAGAGTTGTGTGCCATTAAGAATTGATCATTTCTGCGCATTTAAGACCTTAAAGCTACATCCGAGAGAGTGAAAAATGACATATTAAGATGATTTCCGCAAAACATTTGAGCAATAATGGCAAAAATTAAGTTACCGAAATACCTCATGGCATGGCATTATTTTGAATACAGTTGGGAAGAACTTATCGAGAGTTAAGCTATGAAACTGACCCCACGAGGGAAAATTGAATTTAAAGTTATCCATATTTCACTTAAAACAGGCGTTCCGCCTTAGTTAAAAACACAGTAACCAGGTTTGGCATTAACTTTCCCCGCAGTGTTGGAGAATTTAATCGCGGGGACACTTAAAGAAATGAACTTAAGTGAGTTGTTTTAGCCAGTATTCCAAAAGTCACCGCGCTATGAGTAGATTTTTAGTAAATAATTTTTGCACTTATTGCTCGAACTTTGAGCGGAATCCGTCTTAAGCCTTTTGAGGTATGAATACTCAGAACTGGGAGAATCTATCGTTTAAGGAAAATGAGATAACTCCGAATTACCCTTACTATTGTTTATGGTATCTCTGGTCCAGTTTCGCTGTCGTGATGACGAAAAAACACGTATCTTGTAACGTCACATGAAGTCTTTAAATCCATTATCTCGGTTCTGCTTTCTTTTTTAAGCAGTTTTGCGTCCTCTTTTATGTTTTTTTTTTGGGNTTGTTCATGGTCCATAGCCTACGGCCCAGCCTGAATATTCTATTACAAAAGTTTGCTGCGGCATCGCTGTCTGTGTTTAAATCATAGAAGAGAGTGTTACATAGAGTTTGTTTTATTTATCGACTACGGTATGTCTTTCTTTTGTTTTGTTTTGTTTTGTTTTGTTTTTTTTTCTTTCTTTCTTTCCTTCTTTTTCTTTTTTTTTGTTCCTTTTAAGGACCCTATTCAGCCACACCTTTGTTTTTGTTTACATGCGGGAGTTTGGCTCTTTTATTTTATTCCGAGCATGTCGAAACGAAGGAAATCACTTAGAAACTGATAATTAAACGTACTTTCAGGACCAGAACTTACAGCAAAGCAATGATATTTCGCTTCACCGTGCAATATCGATCAATGATTTCGGTGGCATTGAAATTGCTGGAAATTGGCGGAGGCTGACTAGGGTGTCACGTCATTTTGACCCGTAATTATAATGCGTCAACAGAACAACACTGTAGCAAAGCGAATAGACTGCGAGCAGTCTCTCTTTTGCTCGAAAATCCGTAGGGAAGAACACAAAGAAGAACGCAGCAAAAGCGAGCGTTGGGTCGTGAGCGTGGGAGCGTGATATGCCGCGAGCTGCAATGTCACGCTCGCAGTCACGCCCGCATGCTCACTTGTTTTGCGTTCATCCCCATGGATTTTCGAGCGAAAGAGAGACTGCTCGCAGTCTACAAACGAAACTCATCGTTTTTCTCCTTCGAAGAAGGAGTAGAGGAAATACCCTGTGTCAGGAGCCCATGCATTACCCTGCCTGTGTATTTGAACTATTGTTAATTGTAAACACTCGATACTGTATTGGACTGCAGACATATTACGGCTCGCAGTGAACGCAAGCCTCGCTATCGTTTTTGCGCGGTTACAAATCCAATATGGCTTCCAAAACATAATTTTGACCTCCTTCGAAGACGTTTCGCTCACATTTATTTCAAAGCTGGTTTACTTAGGAATCAGGTGAGTCTTAAACGTTTTATATCTCTACTGATTTATAAGTTATGGTCGGTTGTTTTCTTATGTGCAGTGATTGTTGCGTGATTGATATTTTCAATATACACTGTGGTCACCCGTGAGGCCGGTTTAGAGTTTCAGAGGTGAAAGTCCTTCTCGTGACCGAAATCTAATTCTGCTTACTTATACGAAGACGGCTATCGATCATATGATCTGCAGAAGGAAAGCAATTTTTGTAGTTTTTATCCCAGGTAACAAATTGTTACAGAGGCTCACCCAACCATCAGAGCAGAAAGCCTAGAAGGAATAAACTCGCGTTTGAAAGCCTCCTGTTTGTGAGCTATAATTTTAATTTGACTCGTTATTTATATGAAATATCGAAAGCAACTGAAAGTCTTGTGCTCGAAGCTTGTGGTAGCAAATTATAATTACTATAGGTTTTAGTTTTTCTTCGTCTGTAGCCCTGAATATATAAGGATACCTGCTTCTATATTTATATATTTCCCGTTGTTTCATTATTGATAAATTTGAAGGGTGGGAAAATAAACTGATGTATCTACTGAGAACTCCATACGTGCCATAAAGATGGGATTGTTTTAAGACCTGGCTACAACTAACATTTCAGGGGGTTTCTTAATATATTTTTTCTGCGCATATGCGGGAATCGAATCAGCAATCGGCCGGGGCGAACACGAACGACGTATGGAATGACCTATCGAGTACCTTTCATTCTCGTTAATTAGAGATATCAAAGCTGGAAGATGCGAGTAATTTGCTTATTTTCGGGCAATGAGGCCCACCAACACTCAGTCTTTTTTTGTGCAAAAGAATCGCGTGAGATTGAATTATTTTCAAGTGGTCTCATTCACGTGTAAATATAATCCAGCCCTCCGTGAAGGATATCAATCAGATCACGCTTTCTCGCTTTCTCACTCATGTCACGCTGGTAACGCATTACATGGCTAGCTTAGCAAGAGGTGTCACGTATTACTCTAAGCACGATCTATAGTCTGACTGTGGTCAGCAAATCTTCAAAAAAATAAAAATAAATAAAAAAGTTGAAATAAAAAGACTTGTCGGTCTGTCATAATTCGTCGGATTCTCGCCGACGAATAGCGATAATTTATGTCAGGTGATGCTGCTGGCTCATAACTTTTCTTGCACTGGAATGGTAATGCTTAATTTTTTTACGTTTTTGCAATTTTTGCCATTATTCCTCCCCTCCCCAAGTGTAATGCACAATAGCAGAATACCGAACCCAATTAAAATCCAAATCAATTGCATGGAGTGGTGCGTAGTGAAATGAAGTGACATAATAAAATCTGTTACCCAAAACCTGGTCATTTTTAGCATTATCTTAAGGTTCCTGTGAAGTGAAATTTTTTTTTTCGTTTTTCTGTCGCTTGTTATGTCTGCTTTTCGAAATTGCCAAAAGTGAATGATGTTAAAGAGAGAAAATTTTGACTTTTTGCTGTTCAAAGTTCGAATTTGACAACCGAAAGTGGGTCCATTTTGCGCGCGGCCAAAACGAATGAAATTACAATGCCGTGACATAGGAAATTGTTCAGACGACTTCATCGCTACTTTCCGACTCTTGTACGTGGGAACTTTCACTGGAGGACATATATCATTCACTATCTGAGATTTTACTAGCAAAAAAATCTCCTTTGGCAATTCACATAGCTACAGAGGCAAAGTGGGGTAAACAAATCGCTGGAGCAATTTCCTACGTCATCGCTTGTAAACTCGTTGCCAGTCTCCGGACCCACTGTTTTGCTATACTGAGCTCACTTTGGGCGGCAAAAAGTCGGATTTTTCTCTTTGTAACATTATTCGCTTTAGGCAGTGTCGAAAAGTAGACATAACAAGCGACAGATAAAAGCAAAATAAAAAAATTCACTTCATAGGCACTTTAAAGAATATAACGCAAACAGCGGCGATAAACATTGTATTCCAACCCATTTTAATACAGACTGACTTGACGTTTCGTATGCTATGAACATACATTTTCAAAAGTGACCGTTACAAACTTTTAAAAACTATATATCGTAAATATTGGTGGTCTGGATCATTTTTCTCAGTCTAGGTTCCGGACCTCCAATATTTACGACATATAGTTGCCACAATTTGTAACGGTCACCTTTGAAAATATATGTTGGCTAGCATACGAAACGTCAAGTTCTGTTTAAAAACGCGTTGGAATACAATGTTTATCACCGCTGCATGTTTGTGTTATATTCTTAATCAACACACGATGGCGTAAGAGCAGGTTAACCTTTGCCTGTCAGAGGTATAAATCCCTATCTTTGAAATGATAATGGCGCAATTACTCTATCCTTGTTTTATTGTTATTTTAAAAAGAATAGCTTACACTTAGCTGTGCGTCAATTGAGTTAGAAGCTACATTGTATAGTTGACACTTCTCTGGTGCTCTCCAAGCCTCGCGTCCATCCATAATTCGACAGACGCCTACTAAGACTGCAAATGTCATATTCCCTATCGGAAGGGAAATAAGTTTAAGGGAAAGGGACATTGAATGCAGGTTATCCTTTGTTTGTTGATGTTATTTTAGAAATGGCGCTGTCTGCAGACGAAGTCTTCGAGGTAATTGGCAGCTTTGGTCGATATCAGCTGTTTATTCTGATTCTCTTCAATATTATCGAGTGGTTTTGGTTCGGCTGGCCCATGATGGTTATGACGTTCATTGCCGCTGAGCCAGCATGGCGCTGCAAAAGTAACAGCAGTTTGTGTCCGCTGAATGGAACCTTCGAACCTGAACACAGACATTACAAGTTCCGGTGTCACATTCCACGAAACTCGTGGGAATTCGTGGATGATTTCACTTCTGTTGTGACACAGGCAAGTATTTAGGCTGAGGCTCTTTCCTTGCTCGCAACCGCAGCGGATTCGCGCAGAACATGAACTCAAGCACCAAAAAAATATCCTTTAATAGAAATTAGGAGACCGAAATTACCTTGTTTGTTCGATCGATACCCAGGGGGGGTACTACATATAAGGTCCTACAACGGCTATACGGGGAGACATCCGCCCGAGAGGGGTATCTTTTTCAAGCTTCTGGTATATAAAAGGCTTGGGATTTCAAAAGTCGGTTTGTTTCTTTGTTTGTTTCTTCAGTTGCAGAATATTTATTTACTACTTGATTAATTTTGTTATTATTTTGCTCTCGTAGTTTGACCTGGTTTGTGACAAAGCCATCTATGGGACGATTTCTACCTCTCTAATCTTCTTTGGTGGGGTTCTGAGCCCTCTTTTGGTGGGATCATTGGGCGATAAATTCGGAAGAAAGAAAATGGTGTACCTATTTGGATTTCTTGCTGCCCTTTTTAGCCTTTTGTCGGCATTTCCTAATGTTTACGGACTGTTTGCGTTCTTCAGATTCATCGTTGGATTCTGTTTAGGTAGGAAAATCAAACTGAAACAAAGCTTTCTTATCTGACGGCCAAAATAACAATTAAGATGTGCCGTATATACGTACTTCATATCTTTTTTTCACTTTATTGGCACAAAATTAGTAAATGGTAATTGCAAAAAATGACTGCCTCCGTGAACGGGAAAGGTGATCTGAATCCTACGCTGTAACTAGCTAACCATGTGGGCTAGATGTCGCTATCTTCCTCGCTCGGAATTACCCGTTGTGTTCCGCAAGAAAAGAATGTTCATTTCCATATAATAGGCCCTTTATTGACCAAGCTTGTTCGGTCAAGATGGCTGGATATTGGCCTCGTTCTTTTTTCGGCCTCACGCTTGGTCAATAACCCATATTCCCTAATGAGCATTTTCACTTTGCACTGATAAAAGGTAAGTACATGTAGATTACTTCGTAGAAAGCGCGACGAACGGATTTTTATTCACGAGTTGCAAAACAAACGAGTGAGCGCAGCGAACGTGTGAGTTTTCCAAAGTTTTGTAACGAGTGAATAAAAATTTTTACAAAGCACTTTCTATGCTGTAATTTGTTTATTATATCGAGAATTAAACATATCCTTTAAATCAGTTTTAGTTTTCCCGATAAAATAAGCTTATATGCAGAACAGCAAAAAATTCAAGACTGATCTAAATGACCGAGCGTAATAAAAAACAAATCTGCTTTCCAGTCCAGCAACAGGCGGACAAATAGCCTACACAAGCTTAATTACAAAACGGGAGAATTCGTAAATACAAAGTGAGAAATCTTTTCGCTTGTCCCTAATCACTGTCAGATTCAATCATCTAATGGCGGCGCTTCGCGCTGTGCAAAGACAAATTCGGACTCTGTTGACTTAATATAGAAATGTTGAATCTTGTTGGCTCTCTGATGTTAATTTTACTTTCTCGGTTTCTTGAATGGCCATTGATTCTGAAACTGAAGTGCCAGAGCTCAAGATGTCGGATATATTCCGCTGCTGTTTTTTTCCGAAAGTGAACTAAAACGGGAAGCCGAGGCCATGTTTTCGAGATACAAACTTCAAACGGGCGTTGATTTCAAGACCGCGCTTCTCGGAAGCTATTTTAGTGCTTAACTCTGATTGGCTAAGTGATTCTACTCTGGACGGTGATTGGTTATATTTTTCACATGTGAAGAATGCTGTACGCGAAGCTGATTGGACGTATCGCTTTCTTCACATGTGAAAATATAGCACATACAGAATTCTATTTGCAAGGTTAATTGCCTAAAATTCACGCTCTGTACCAGGAGCCATAATCGGCTCCTGTCTGTATACAATAAAAACAGTTACGGAGTTAAGCGGTCTAACTGATAGTTTTAGTTCACATGGTTTTTATCTACCGGTGGATATCGCATTTCACCAGTAAAACCTGCGAATGACTGGGATACTACTCGTTCAATTGAAACGTTGCTGGCAGGGTAATATTGACATTTACAAAGAGTTTCCAATAAATCTCTACTGAAATCCTCAGCCGAACTCTAGGGTAATTTTTTTTTCTGTATTCATTTTTTTTTTTTTCCTTTTTTTCCCAAGCTGGTGGTTCAATGTCTTTTTTTGTGCTACTCACCGAGCTTGTGGGTACTCGGCACCGTAGCCTGATGGGAACTTCCTTGTGGTATTGCTGGACGCTGTCTCTAATCGCTTTGGCGGGAGTCGCATATCTTATCAGAGACTGGAGAACGCTGTGCGTTGTGACTGGGGCGCCTGCGATAGGAATCGTTTTTGGCTGGTTGTGAGTATCTGTTCCGGTCTGTAGAATTACAACAAAACTTCTTATCATATCTACCGCTAACAGTTACGAGACCATTGTTAGCAAACCCATGCCGTTAGACCGTATCCGATTTCTAAGTACGACTGATACAGAAAACAATCAGTAATTGGTAACTGGTTTCACCTGCACGTAATGTTACTTTCTTGCAGTTTTACGCCAGAGTCTCTTCGGTGGTTGCTAGTAAAAGGAAAGATGGTTGAGGCAGAGAAACTCTACCGAAAGATCGCCCGCATTAATGGTAAAGAACTGCCAGAGGAAGGGCTAGAGATAGACACCGGAAATGACGCTAAACAAAGACTCGGAGATTTTAGGGATTTGTTTAAAACAAAATCTTTGACGAAGACGACGCTGATTTCTTGTTTTTGTTGGTGAGTGAGTAAAGCATATTAGATCTTTGACCCGGACTTTTTCGTTCAGCTTTACCGCACACAGTTTTTTAACGCGCAGTTTATCAAATAAGGTTCCCAGGCCTAGGTTTAATGTCTTATATTCTGCATGTCATGTTGATGTTTTTATTATAGGTTTGTCAATGCTCTGGTGTACTATGGTGTGTTTCTAAGCGCTCCTTCTATTGGTGGAAACATGTACCTCAACTTCTTCCTTGCTAGTATCATTGAACTTCCAGCTATCCCAGGAGGCATCTGGATCTACAACAGGTAGGGAAATAGCTAGCGTTGATGCGACACTCAAAACTGCATAGACGACGCGACTAAGCAAACGTTCAATTGATTATAGTCTTGATGGTTTTTTAACTTAAAGTGCCCCCTACGTGAAATATTTTCACTGCGAAAACTGTCCGTGCTTGGTCAATAATTGATCAAATTGCAATTAAACGCAGTACGATTATTATGTGAAGAAGTTATAGGTTAGACATTCTGGAAATGCGCCTTCTTCGTCAACGAAACGTGGTTACGAAGCGTAAAATAAGCAGTTATAATCGTGTAGGGACCAGACAGTTTAACGTTTCTAAACTACCAGCCTACTGACGATCAATAGTAAGTCAAAGGCAATGAACTTCATCCCAAATAATCAATCAACGACGAAACAAAAAAGTGACAGCAAAACCCGAAACGAAAAATCAGAACTGCTTGTCGTGTGAGTTGAAGGTAAACTGCATTTGAACCCTTTGGATTCTCAGGGTAAACCTGCTTGAGATAACGAAGCTCAACTGTATAATTATAGACTATGCAAAAGGACAAAACTACTAAGAATTGCATGTTCACTTTTTAACGTGCTAGAACAGGCCCTCTTAGTTAAGAGGTACGGTGTCTAGATTCAAGGATTTAATTTTCATATACACAATACAACTCATGATAATAAAATGCCGGCGGAATTACTTTTGCAGATTTGGACGAAAGAAAGGAGTTATTGTCCCTATGCTATTTGCCGCTGTTGGTGCCGCGGGCTCAGTTCTTTTGACGACTGACGACGAATCCCACAAAGGTATGAGACAAGCGCAAGAGTTAACAAGATAAATTTTATGCCATAGTGTTACGCTATCATTAGCTACATTTTATAACTTAAATTTAATATTTTACAGCAGAAGATTTGTGAAGAATGTGCAGCCCGAGCCAAAAATTGAAAGATGTAGTCGAGATATCTGGGCTGTTGGTCAAGCTTGTTCGAGCAAGCTTGGTCATTAAAGGATTTATTGTATGGAAAAGGGACATCATTTTCTTGCGGGAGACAGAGGCTTTAAGCTAGTCCAAAGCGGGCAGAAAAGCGCCCTCTTGTCCGCTAGGGTAGCCAATCACAGCGCAGGATTCGGTTGATCTTGCACGCTTACGGTGCAAGCCATATTTCTAGAGTAGTTCTTGAAGAAACTGAACGTTAAATAATTGTTAAACATCAAAGAACAGCAACAAAGTGCCCTGGCACTACCCACCCGGCTCAGATCATGATGGTGTTGCTAGTTACTGTCACGTGTTCAAAAAAGTGTTCATTTTCTTTCTCAGGATTTCTCGCTGGTAAAATCATACTGTCAATGATCTGGGCTAAATTTTGGATCATGATTTCTTACGACGGAGTGCTCATTTATTCAGCCGAGTTATTCCCCACAGTTGTAAGGTAAGTTGTCAGTGACTAAAATCTATTATACGATCGAAATCGAAATCGAAGAAGCCACAAATCGAGAAATAGTCTTGAGACACTTGCCTGGCTTTTTCCGTGACTAAAACCTCAATGATTGTGTTCCTTCTCTCCCCTGTTTCAATGCTGTGTATTCGGAAAAAGTAATCACTCTAATCACTTCTAGTTTGCAACATTGTTGGGGTTTAGGGTAGAAAAGCACTGATTGGGAAAAGTTATCACTCCTTTACCACAACGTTGTCTGACGGGCGCGGGGCACTAGTCTTGAGAAATCTGTCAGAAAGCTACAATTTGTGTTCAGGAGGAAGCAAAAATTCGTTAAAACTAAAAACTCTTCAGATACATAAATGAGCTAATAACCGAGTGATCTGATAATTTAACATCCAGCTTTAATGTGTGGCTGTCGAGTATGTGTAGCTGGATAGCGGGTCCAATACCATTTAAACACAGAGCCTCTTAACTCCGTGAAAATCTTGGACTTAACATTGCATGTTTTGGCCACAATTGTGATAAACTATACTCAGAAAACATTCGAGACCACGGTGTTTTCGACTGAAAATTAAAAATCGTATTCGTCCACGAAAAGCTTCTGTTTACTTAGGGCTGATTCATTGACTTTCGCGATAATATATATATGTTATTTGCCGGCTGGGAGGTCCGTATAGTGAAAAACTGTGACTGAGGGCAGCCCGATGTCACAGTTTTTCACTATACGGACCGACCCTAAGCCGGCAAACAACATCTTTATTTTTTTTTNGGCAAGACAAAATCTTGGCAACGAGCGAGTAACTCAGATAGTAGACAAAGTTTTTTTCGACCTACTTTAAGTTAGTTGCATTTATTTCACCAGTTAAGTTCTCCAAAATTGTTTTTGTCAGCCGTTGCAATTAAAATCACTTGAAATCAGACTTTTCTACCGTAAATTGAAGAGCAGAAAGAGAGGAACTTCGTTAAGTGTATCCCACAGACATTCCCCTAAATACAGCAACGATCAGAGAGGTAAACTCAACACAAATTTTACGGAGAGAGAAACACAGGATTACGCGCCATTACAGCGCCAAGCTACAAACAACCGAGCAACCACTCACAACCTCAAAACACTCAATTGAATTTACTTAGAGTGACTTTCCTTGCCATTTTAAAGTGAACAGAGATAAACTTACGTTGACTAATCGTCGATGGAAGTGTAAAAAGGCACAAGATTGGGTAAAAAATCCGGCCCGTGGGCCGTATCATAAAAAGCTGGACCGGTCACGAGCGCGTGATTAGCTAATAAAATTCGAGGATTTAGGATTCCGGCCCGCTCAGATGCTTGAGAAAAAAATAAGTATTTATATAGTAAAATAGCTTAACGTCTCACAGTGGTAGTAACAAACATAACAGAGAGATCCCATAATGGTCAGCTAACGTTAAAAGAATTTATAACGGCGAAAAAATTTATTAACAGTCAGTAGTAATACGTATTCATCCGTGGTATTCCTCCGTGGTAGTCGTTTTAAGCCACAAACGTCCTTGTTACCTTCTCTGTCTTATGAAAATAGGTTCTTTTAGAGAGTTGAGAATGAAAAAAGCAAAAAAAAAAGTCTGTTGCGCTGAAAAAGTCGAGCAACAAAAAGACTGTTTATTAGACAAAGATTAAGACCGCGGCCTCTTAGCAGTTAATTGCTCTTTTGACATTTTTAGAAATGTTGGTATGAGTGCATCTTTGGTCTGTTCCAGAGTTGGTTCTTTTCTCTCTACTTACGTCATTTTCTTGGTAAGTATCATAAACAGACGCAAACGAATTAGCTGTGGATCCACGAGGCGATAGCCCAGTGGATCGACAGACTACTTTGATAATGTTATGGCGAAGTAGCAAGAGGGTTACCCTAGTTTACCTTAGTTTACCCTAGTTTATCCTCCTTGTAAACAGGCCCTGAGGCTGATGTTGCTTCCTCTCTAAATGTATTAAAACAAATATGCTCAAAATTTGAATTGTTTTAATCCAACATATAGTGGTTGTTATTTTTTCCTGACCTAATCTGCTCGCCGCCAATATCCTCTGTTACTGCTGTGAAGCCAGCGTGTATCCGGAAGTGTAATATGATGATGTAGATAATTTTTTCGGCGCGTAAATTTTCTTTGATAGGGACGAGTGCACCCCATCCTTCCTTATGGAGTCATGGGAGTATTAGCCTTGATCGCTGGGTTACTCTGCTTGTTGTTGCCGGAAACCCGCTTCAAACCAACGCTGGAAAATATCGACCAAGAGAAACAGGAGTGCAGCACTGAGACTGTTGAAAGCGACAATGATTTCCTCGGAACTGATGAAAGGGAGCCTCTTGTTCCTCCTACGGACAACCTCGTATGAGTACATGTAAATTCAGCAATAAATTAAATGATTTGTGAATAAAATTGATTGATTAATTTTAATTGATTGATTAATTGGAATCTCCAAATGGCTATATATAACACACCCCGGATTCAGCATCAACAGCAATACAAGATACATCAACAGGAGTCAGGGTTGCCACACACCGGAACAAAAAATATCTCTGACTTTTCCCTGACCTCTCACTGACTGTAAAGCAATTTTCACTGACCCTGCAGGATGACTGTTCTGGCCATGTGTCAACAAAAATAAGGATGGCTCAGGTAATTTTTAAAACAAAATTGCCTTGTCTATACAAAACATCTAATAAAACAATCTGCGGCAACCTTAAGATAAAATTCCCTTACTTTTCAACAGGGATTAAGAAATTCCCTGACCTGATACAAAACTCCCTGACTTTTCCCAGACCTTCAATAAAATCGCTACCGCTATCTGGATTTGTTCTCGGTAGTCCCGAACTCAACTTCTCGACTGCGTTGTGTAAATAGCCAACTGGTCAGCCTCCCACCAGTTGGGATTCGTAATAGTTTATGTTCTGTTACAATATCTATTTATTTATTTATTTATTTATTCATTTATAGTGTCTCAAATTAGCACAACAGTGCTAAATACACTCGACACTTACATGAAGTTATTAATTTGTTAATTAGTAATTCAAAGTTACGCATGGAAGTAATAGTGACTTTCAAAACGTAACCTTGGCAAGTCAGAAGTCCGATCAAATTTCATAAGTTAAAAAACGTGGTTAGTCTAATCATCGATGCACGGTAATCATGTAGCAAACGTACATCTATTCATGCCTTGGATAAAGTGGCTGTGTATCACTGGAGTGGTAAATTAACCTTATGTAGACCGGGCTGTTTTGGTCTTCTGGAAGTGCTTTTGACGGTCCCTTTGAGGCTCTCGACCATTTCACATGGGAATGACCCCCCACCCACCCCCCAACTCTCCTCGCACCGACCGAAGGCTACAAAGACCGCTAGAAATACTGAAAAGATCATTGTGATTAATAACCACTCGTATGGGCACTGGGCACTAACGCCACAACTACTTCTGTAAACGTGACCTTCTTATGCCGTGTTTTCACGGGAGAGATTTACTACGGTTACTGCTTACCGAGGTTTCGTAACTAAACCGCAGTTATTAGAGAAGCTGTTTACACGAAACTAATTAACTAAAGTAGGCCNAATAACCACACTAGGAGCAAACAACACACGTATGGAATAAGGTAAGCCATTTTTATTGAGAATTTTCACTTTTAACTACCTCCATGGATATCTTGTAGACAATCCCATATAAACCCTTAAAATTCAATGCCATATCGTGTTGCTTGTGTGGTTCATAGAGAGAGCTTGGGCTACCCGTGGAGTAACAAGTGGACAAAAACTTGGAAATTTTTGTGCGACTGTTTTAAATATCTTCTCAAAAGAAATCATTTCTGACAACACCAAATGTCGAAAACAAATTTTGAAGTAATATATGAAACACTTGAAGTAGTGGTGAAATGAAACTGATGATGAAATTTTACCTGTGTTTTACCTGACAATTTCTCTGAACTTTGAAATTTACTTTCTCGAGTTCCCATGAGAAAATGTTTTTGGTGTTATTTCAGACAACTGTTTATACCTTTAGCTTTTAAAAAAACGCAAGAAGGATTGTACTATACTTAGAGTTTTTCTAGTACAAGGTTTTTGTCCATTAAAAACTGAAATTGCTCGATTTCCTATCGGATTTCGTCTAAAGGAGTCAAGAAGAATGTGAGGAACAATGTCAGCTAATTAACACTTTTGCCCGAACAGAGTGCGCTTGTGTGTTTAATTTTTTTTTCTTTTCTCTTTTTCTGCTTCTTGGTTAGTCTTGTACACCTTTTATTTTGTATCAATTGTTGAAACCTATTAAGTTTTTAGCAACATGTGTATAGATATATATAATGATATTTTACGAAAATATGGCATTGCATGAAACAACATATAAAAAACACCAGGTGCCTACTGAGGAGTAGTGTTACTTAATCAAGTTTCAAGACTACTTTAAGATCAAATTACAAATATAATGGAATTAAGGCAAAGTTGATATTTGATACAATGACCCAGTACTGGTATATATTCCTAACAACCAACATAAACGAGTTTAACACTTAAACAGAAAATGCCTAAAATAGATTTAGCCCAGAATTCCTATGAAAAAAGATATTTCATCCAATTCGCAATTCTGATCCTTTTTTTATTTCTCGGCTCGCTTTGTTATTCGCCCGACGATGTCCTTGTAACAAAGATGACATATTGCGTTACAGCACTTATCTTCTCTCCGGTATTTTCATTGTCTATATCTTAAATCTATGATGCACTTTTTTCGAGTTAGCGTTGCTCCCGTATTATTTCTAGTTGTCAGATGGCAACGGTTTTCGAATTGCTTGTCTCACTATGTACGCATTGCGTATCAATTTTATACGAGTTGTAACCTCCTGCGCATGAGTATAGGCTACTTTGAGCCTCTTGTTTACATCACAGCCAGTCATCCGGAAATGATATCGTCGATTAATTTAATTTCGATAACACAGTAAATGGTTTGAACCCAGGAGTATCAGTAGTTCGTATAGTGTGATCGTACGGGTGAGTGTAGTTCTGAAAAGAACTGTTGTTGGTGACTGACGTTTCGACAACCTGAACGGAAGTCATCTTCAGAGTCAACTTGACTCGTCCGGGTGAGTGTAGTTCTGAAAAGAACTGTTGTTGGTGACTGACGTTTCGACAACCTGAACGGAAGTCATCTTCAGAGTCAAAGTTGACTCTGAAGATGACTTCCGTTCAGGTTGTCGAAACGTCAGTCACCAACAACAGTTCTTTTCAGAACTACACTCACCCGGACGATCACACTACACGAACTAATTTAATTTTCTCGTCCCTTGATCCTTGATTATAACCTAGTATCTAAAATTTCTGGACTTGTAGACATTGCTTTTAACTGCGTCTCTGGAATTAAATCAGTAAACTTGTTTCCTCTTCTTTTTTTTGACGTCACACTCTTAATCGCCAGCCGCTTTCTACAACAGCACACGGAGCCTAAAGTCCTTTTGAATTCAGGAATCCTTAATGCATAGACAACTGGATTGACTAAAGAGTTAGAGAAATTCAAAAACGAAGCCCCATAATAAACTCTCCAATTTATCGAACAGTTAAAAACGAATAGAGTGTTCATAACAATTAAAGGTATCCACGAGAGTAAAGCAAGGATAGATATCAATAACAAGGTCTTTACCAGGCGTTGATTTTGTGAAGCTCTGTTTTGTTGCATCGGGAAGGTGCGACCACTTCGAAACTTTCTCCAAATGCTAAAATTACAACCAAACATGATGAACATTAGGACCAAAGTGTATGGTAACCAAAAATGTAAGAATCCTTTTATGGAAACAAAAAAAGATAAAAGGGAAAGAATCGCAGAAACTGCAAAAGCTACTGCCCATGCTATTGAAATGGCAATGTAGTATTCTCTGGTTGACAGAATTCGGTGTTTCAGTGGCCAATGTATGGCGTAAAATCTCTCGCCAGATATCAAAGCCGCGGCTAGTATTGAGGCCTGCATAAAAACATCATCCAAGACTCTGTAGAAAATCTTGGAAGTGGTGTCCCTTCTATATAACCAAAGTTTAAATTCTCCCCCGACCAAGTAAGTGTTCATGGGCAGAGATACAGTTCCTAACATCAGATCAGCAAACGCCATATTGACGACCGTCAACAAATTCTTTTTACGAAGATTCCTGTTGACTGCAAAGAGAACAATTGTGAGCAAGTTTCCGACGGCAACCAGTACAGCTTCCAGTGCAAAAGCAGAGCAAAATGCGATGCCTGTCACTTTGAAAGGAGCATTTGTGGCTGGCCAAGATCCATTTCTTGGCGAGGTAGTGTTTTCTGAACTCGGTTCCATTCACTTGATTTGAGGACGTGAATTAAGAATGGGTTTTAGACGCGAGAATTAGGTTTTCATTGCGGCTGAACACGAGGAAAAATTTCCACCTTGCACTTGATGAAACGGAGTTTTAGTGTAGTTGTTCGCTTAGAAATGGCGATTATAAGAGAACGGCTTAGTTATCAATAATCCTTACATTAGAAAGTACCCGTCAGGTTTGAAGTTCTTAGTGCATTATTTAAATTGCCATCGCCTATGTCAGCGATTCTGATCGATGTCGTAATATAACCGGACGAAGGAATCGCGCTGAGACGATTTTTTTTCTCTGCCTCTTTTTATTAGGAACACACTGATAAAGATTGAACAAAAAAGACGTTTTCATCTGTTTCATAAATTAAAGATAAATGATAACGGCTCGGTACAAAAAATATGCATACCGTTTTGTTGCGAGGAGACATAAGACAACAACAGCTACCAGAATTAGCATATGCTTTTAAATTGGGAGAGTAAAAATACTCATTAATGTCACTTTTGTTTTCACGGAAATTCGCAGAAAATTCTTGAAAAGAGCAGATGGCGCCTCACATCCATTGTTTTCACTGTTACAAGACCTTCGAAATTAAAACACTCTTTGCAATAGACTTCTTTCAGTCAAAGGGCGGTACTTTATATCGGGAATTCTGGTCTACAGAAACGGCGGTTTCACACTCATAGCGAAAATGTCGGTAACAGCGAAGATAGCTTTGAAAAAGTAAATATCGAACTACCATCATACGAAGGCACACAAACATCGAACAGTCCAGCTAACGTAGTAACTTAGTGATTCATTGTCATGCTTCATGAAATCAATTTGCAGTTGTTGTCGGCCGGTCGAAGGCGAATCCCCGTGACTTTTGCCGCGACACTAATGTCATTTTCCAACTTGCAGAGAGAAATCGTGTTGTACACAAAAACCGTAAGTGGAGATGCAGAATCCCAGAAGGCTGTAAACACGTATCGTCTGCCACATCCCTGGACTTTACAGGACGTTAATTATAAGCTAATGTGAGGGCGCGCCGGATTTTGCTGCTCGATAAATAGGTTATGCAAAGAGAAGATAAGTATCGGCATCAAAAGACAGATTTCCCAACGAGCC